TTCAAACTTAATGATCATTTTATATATTTAAGTATATATCTACAATTTTATCCTTGCACTCTTTCATCTTCTTTCTCCTTTTATATTTATTTATTATTTATTAATAATATATTATTTGGTCCCCCAAGATCAATGGTCAAGATCTCATCACTGTCTGTAATGGTGACTCTTTTGAGAAGTTGATGGCAAAGAAGGAGAAGATGAAGGGAGGGATTAAATGAGATGTTAAAGTCGAGAGGTGTGGTCGAGAGAGTCGAGTGCATTAAGGTGTCGCGATTAAGGTTTTCAACGGATATTTTTCAATATTAAAAATAATTAAATATTTATTTTTAAAATTATTTAATTTAACAAATTATTATAAATTGATCTAATTATGATTAAATTAAATTATTAAATTAAAAAGTATTTAATTTTTTAATTAGGTGAATAATTAATTTATTAGAATATATTTAAAATTAAGTAATTATTATATAATTCTAAATATTTTTTTAATTTAATGTTGATTTTTAAAAATATACTTTAAATCCATCAAGTAATGTTTGTTAGTAACTAATTATTAATTTATCGACGGATATATCCGTCTGTAACTAATTGTTAATTTAGCGAAAGATATATCTCGTTTAATTAATTGTTGATTTATTAACTGATATATCCTGTTCGGTAAGACAAAATTCCATAACTACTTTATATTACTAATTGTTAATTTACTAAGGGATATATCCGTCGATAATTAATTGTTCATTTACTAACGGATATATCTATCAAGTAAGACCAAATTCCATAAATACTTTAAATCCATTGATAATGTCTGTAAGTAATCACTCATTTTCCGATGATTACAAATTTATTGGTATCTATCCATCGGTAATTAATAATTTTCTTAATATAAAAATTGAAAAATTATTTTAGGTATTATTTCTCTACCTGAAATATTTACAACGGTCAAAATAAATTTAATGATAACTTATTATTATAATTATAAATAACTGTACCTAGTTATTTTGATTTAATTTTTAACTAATATACTAAATTTTTATTATTTTAACTCAATTTTTAATTTATATAATAAATATAATTATTTTGTAAATTATGTAAATTTTAAAATTTTCACACTTACTTCTTTTTCCTATTTCGCTTTCTTTCTTTGACAACTTCACAGTTGATCTAGTTTCTTATGCTCAAGTCATGTCTTTATTATTTATTTTTTTTCATTTTGAATTTTTTTAGTATTGTTACAGTTCATTTTTACTTTATTTTTTCTTCTTCTTTATTTTAGATTTCTCACTTATGGTGCTCTTAGTATTCGTATCTTTCATCTTATTCTTAGGTCGTCTTTTTTTTTAAGTCATTTTTTATTGATAGTCATTGATTTTTCCTATTTAAAGTTGTATATGTTTTAGCATTTTTATTTTACTAGCTATGGAAGAAGCATATAGATGCAATCACGACAAGGTAAAAAAAAACTTAAAATTAACTTTATATATTAATTAAAATTATAATCAACATAAAAAATATTATTTATTATATCGAATAAATTTTAATGCGACATATTATATCAATTATAACCAACATAAAAAAATAAAAAATAACTCTAGAAAACAAAACCATTGGCTTTAAATAAAAAAAAATGTTTTAGAAATTTCATTTTATAATTGATTAAAGGTAATAAAAAAAATATAATAATGTGAAAGTAAGAAGTTGATGTTTTGAATTGATTAGTTGAACTCTAGGAATGGATTAGTTAGAGACACTTTAACCAAATAAAAATGTCAAATAGAAGGAATTTTGGTGGGATGTCAAAATCAAGATGTGCTGTAATGTAACCATGGTTAAATAAACTTATACGAAGATCAAATCCCAACCGACATTACAAGGAACTTATTAGTTATTAATAGCAGTTGTTTTCATATTTTTAAGTTTTATTACTTTCCACAACTTACACATCCAACTTAATTCAACAATAGATATATTACTTTATAGGTAGAAGAAAACAACATATAAAAAAGTCAAAATGCCCCCAAAATTAGTTTATTTAAAAATCTCCCATTTAAAGACCAACCTCTTCATTCAAATAAAGGACACTTTGCCATCTCAAAAAATGAAAATAATCCTTTACTTTTGGGACGGGTCAAGAGTACAAACTTTAAACGATGAACTAATCAAACATGAGAGTTTTACATATTAATGGATTAAATTAATGTTAAACGATCTACCACATTAATGGTTAATTTATACTGCTTGAAAAGTTAGTAAATTTGTGTGAAAAAAAGTTAGTCAATTTAATTAATAATATTGAATTTATTAGTTTTTTCCCAAAATTAATGTATGGAAAGAAATATAAAAATGAAATTTTAATTTTTAAAACTAAAATCTTAACAAAGATAAACTTAAAATTATTTAGTAAAAACTAATTAATACCAAAGACAAATTTAGAACTCTTTTATATAAAAAAAAAATCAAAACTATTTCTTTGTCATTAAAAAGAGAGAGTTCCTTGCACATTTGAAATGTATAAGATGAAGTTAAAAATTGAGAATTAATGTCATCTTTTTAATTATTATTATTTTTTTGCAATAATTCTCTTAAATATAATTATACAAGATTAATCGCTTATGTGTAGAGATATATGAAATTAGGAATGTCAAATGTGTAGCTCTAAAGTTGAATCTATGGGATAATAACAAAGGAACTGAACAATACCATGCATTGATCAAGTTTACAAGTCAGGACATCTTGGAATGTCCATATAATTAATGGAGACATTAATTACTGTAGAACAAATGAAAGTCATCAAAGATAAGATTAGGTACTTGTCGGAACCCTAGTTCCTCTCCCTTTTTAATTAAATAATTAAAAGAATCTCCATGCAAATATTACGCAAGATGATAGGATTGCTTCCTTTTTCATCAACTCCTCCTACTTCTTCTTCTTCTTCTTCTTCTTCTTCTTTTTCTTTTTTTTTATTTTGAAAAAAGTACAATAACTACCATTGAATGAAACATGTAACAACTGTATTAGCACTAGAACAACCCAGATGCATTGTATGTGAGAAGAAAAATATTAGTTCTAGGTATAACACTTTTAGTTCTCATATAATTCACGTTATTCACGTGCTTTATTATATATTCTTTTTCTTTCTTTTACACTATTCATCTCTCGCATTTTCTCCATGATGTGAATTATATGAGATGCCGCCCTTCGTAGATAAATTTCTCTTGCAAATCAATGACTCTGACTGCCACTTCCCCCACTGTTTCTTTTCATATTAATCTTTAATTTTTACTCTATTGGTAAAAATAATTACTCTTTTAAAAAATGTTACAATTAGAAGTAACTTTCTTAAAACTTATTGTTTCAATAATTTATCCATTTTGTCTTTTTCTCTCTATGTTTTAAATAAACTTTTGCGGGTGAGAGTTAGTCAGATTTAATAATATAATTGTTCACGTGAGAAATGAACTTAATTTAAATTCTTTTTTAAAGTATGGGTATTCTGCCACAAAGAATTCCAACCATGTGTTTACTGGGTTTGAATTTAAGAAATTATATCCGATGTATTTTGAAAATGAATTCGAATCATGTAAAAAAAAATACAAATTTTGGATGAATATAACAACGATAATATTATATATATATATATATATATATATATATATATATATATATATATATATATATATGTTGGAAAATAACTCAAATAAATTAATCTCACAGTATCGTATTTTTCAATTGATACAATTCTAGGTGGTGACCTTAATTCAATATTAAAAAGAAAATACTTAATTTTTAAATAACAAAAAATTTAGCTTTTTAATCACATAGTTTGAAAAATAAGGATTATATTATACATTTGATATTTATTTTACTTTTAGATACAGTTTGGTGTATTATCTCTTAAAAAAACATTTTATATTTAAAATTTAGGTGAATTCGATCCTTATTTTAATTTAGAATTAATGTTGTTAATAATTTAAACATAATAGTGACAAAAGCCGTCGCAAAAATGGGTCTGGATGTGTTCTCCTAGAAGTAATTAATGTAATGATGATTTCATAATATTTAATAATTTATTTATGAATTAGTTTGTTGAAAAATGTTTAACTCTGAATTTATTATTAACCTTTTTTTTAAGAAAAAACACTGTTATAAATTAAGTTTTAAAATAAGATTAAAAGCGATTGGAAAAGATAAATTAAACTTAAAAAAAAAATTAAATCAAACATGCCTTTATCTTTTTATCAAATTGTAGTTCTAGAGTATCATAATATATATTTTATGAAAAAAAAAAAAGAAAAATGATATTTAACAACTAAATCTATACCATTTTTATAAATAACTTTCTTTTAATATTATAATAATAATTTTAATTTATTTTTATTTAATTATTCTATAAAATATTATATTAATAAAATGAGTTTCTTGAAATAACACTAGAAAAAAAAATGACAGTCTAGCCTTTATTTAATTAGTGCCTTTATGACGAAGCTGCGACGAAGCTACACGACTTCAAGCATCCAATAACGATGTTAACTTCTCTCGCTCTAGCCACCCAAAAAGGAAAATATAATTAATTATTTTGAATCACCAATCCAACACCTTTATTTATTATTAAAAAATCACACTTTGAGAAGGATAATTTAAGCCTTGCACGCATCTAAATCCAAAGCAACAAGAAAAGAAAAGAAAAAATAAATATTAAATCCAATGGGTTGGTTCCCACTACCTTGAATGAATATTCACCAGTAACAGTGTCAGCACAAGATTATTGCCATTACACATTGACCAAATAATTGAAATAATATAAATATTTAGTCAACATTATACACCACATCTCTGTTTCCCTTCTAACTATGCATATATATCAATAAGCTCAAGAATCAAGATCATTGTTCAGTGGTGATCCTCTCCTGAATTCTATCGGCACTTTTAAGACAGCAAGTATAGCATAACCTTGTTCTTTGTCAGTACTCTCTCACTGAAATCCAAGTCAGAGTCAAGTCTCACTTCCCAAAGTTCTTCACCCTTTTGGCCTTTTCCCATTTGAAAATGGTTGCGATCAACACCACCAAGATGAAAACGTGGATGTTTTCACACTGATCTTCCCCTTTAATCCCGCCAAGCCCTTTCCCTTGCCTAATGGAAGTTATGTCCAACATCATCACCAAACAAAGCAAAGTAGCACCTTCTCAAGGCACCATCCACTTCCAAAAGCTTTCTTTCTGGTTCGCCCCTCGAACTCGCCCACCTGGTTAACTTCCTTCTTCTCTTTCTCTTGTACCTCCACTCCACTCAAAGGTTTTAGAAAACGGTTCATGATCACAATTTTGGCCCAAAGTCAAGGTTTTTTTGGAGTTTTTGAGATCGTATTTTCGCTAACAACTGCAATTGTAGCTGCATAGGCTGTGTTTGTCTGCAAGTTCCTACACTGTGACAACAATTTGAAACCTTGAAGACTATGGTTCATTCCTTCTATGACAAAAGCTCTTCTTCTTCTGGCTCTGATATTTCAGGGTTGTTCAATCCCTCTTTGCAAAGCCCTGGAGCTTTCAATGGTGTTCTTGTGAGGGGTGGCTTGTCATCATCGAATTCTTTGGTTTATGAGAGTGAGAAGGGAGAGCTGGTGAAGTGCCCTTCAGCTACAAGGGTCGGGAAGAATGAGATTTGTGAGGCCAAAGCTTTGGCTGCTTTGAAGAATCATAGTGAAGCAGAGAGGAGGAGGAGGGAGAGAATAAACGGTCATCTTGCTACGCTACGTGGCCTTGTACCATCCACTGAAAAGGTATGTTCGTGTTCCTTCCTTTTCCTTCAATTGGAAATTTGTTCTTTTACTGTGCATAGCTTATTAGAGCATTGAATTATTTTGGCTCTTTAGTTTCATGATTTCACTTTGATTGTATAATTGGACAGCAACGGATTCAGAAATTTTATGAGAGGACCGTAATCATATATATAAATTTGTGGGGACAACACAATATTCAGACTTTTGTGCTAAAAGGCGGGGCTCACTGCATTTCGAAATTTGGTTGAGATTTGCTATTATACATGTATATTATATTAGGAGAAAAACATAATTGCAGGAGTAGCCGTCCCAACTCTGCCAACCTTAGTTCATCTAAGAGGTTTTAATAATTGCCTTAGTTGAAAAATTATGATCAAAATGGATTTACTCATATTTATCTAGCCAGTTCTTACATAAGAACAGTGACAATGTTTCAATAAAATGCATATTCTGTTGGTGATATGAAAAGGGAATAATAGATTTGATGGAAGGTTGAAATTAGGTGAGAAACGATTATGCAGACTTCTGGGTTGGCTGAATCAGTTTAAGTTTGAAGAAAGATAGAAATGCAAACTACCAGGAAGAGTTGAGAAGAAAAAAATTTGAATAAGAAAACATATATTAAGTTATCAATCTGCTACTTGACAAAAAAAATTCTGACTTTTGACATATTAGTCCAGTTTTATGCACAAAGTTCCCTACATGTCATAATGCTTGTGGCTGTGAATGTACATGTCCCTTTCACGCTCTATGTTAATTTTGAAAATAAAATGCAGCTCAGAGTCTGCTGTATTTAAACATCAAAAGGTTTGAAATTTGAAGCACATCATTGTAATTATTGTAATTTAATTAAGGGCTTTTGATTGCATCATTGTTGTCCTAGTGTGGTCAACTAGGAATATGGGAGTTGCTACTTGCTAGAGTCAATTACCAAGATGCATCACTTGATTATGTAATGTGGAATTATTTATTATGTATGATATACATCCTCGCTTATTATAGTTCATGTTATAATATATATTGTTTCATGATTTCATATTCTATAATTCCAAACTGGAAATACTTAATTTATTATTCAATAAGTTGTGTTCATGCAAACCAGATGTTTCCTCTTTGTGCCCCATGTCATTAGGTGAGTATTACTGGCCTTGGATTATTCTAGTTGTAATTATTGTCCATTAAACTGTGCTGGGTGCCCAAATATACATAGCTTCTGCTATTAATAATATTCTATTTGTTAAAAGGTTACTCGTTTTGGTTAATTGAGTCGTAGGAAATACTTTTATATAAACAAAGGAAGAGGACAATGATTTTTTCTGGGTTTTTCCTTGAACAAGTCATATGAAACAAATTATAAAACATTAAGCACCGTAGAATGTCAATTTTGACTAGGCTTTTTCTAATTTGATGGTTCTTATCTAAGGAAAAAATAAAAAATAAAGGAGCAGAAATGTCATCTCTAGAATCAGATTGATAGGATATTCCTATCAAGTGTTGTCGCAGACGTGCCAGCTGTTCTTCTGGGTGTCATATGACAGAGTCAGTGTATATAAATATTATGTGATAGTTCGTGGTTTGCATGTTTTGTCTTGTTTTGTTGTACAGCCATATTCGTTTTGTTGGCTAACTGATAATGGTGATGTAGGACATGGAAGGAAAACCATCATACTTTTTCTAAGCATTGGATAATCAAAACTTGTGAGTGGTTAGACACTTAGTTTAATCAACTGCCATAATTAACTATAATTACTGTATTTTGCCTCTTTTGTAATGAAGTTATCAAACTTATTGAAGTCATCATCATCATCAAGGGATCAGTCAACTTGAGTTATCACTTATCATTCTAATAAGGTTATGCTGAAGTCATGTTGAAAGGTAGGAGAGGTGATAATGGAAACAATAATGGTAGTAATTAATTTAAGGTCACTGTACTTGTAATAAAAGAAATTAGTACAGTTTTTTTTAGTGTCTGACAAGAAAAAATTATTTTCCTTTTTATTTATGATTATCCTCTTTTCTTTAGTAAAACATTTGTTAAAATATGTTGGTTTTAATTTTGTGGGTCAATTGTTATTCCTTAGATGGATAAAGCTACTTTATTGGCTGAAGTGATTAGCCAAGTGAAGGAACTGAAGAAAACTGCAGTGGAAGCATGCAAGGGTTTTCTAATCCCAATGGATGCTGATGAAGTGAAAGTCGAACCATGTGATGGATCCATGTCTCATAGTGCAACCATTTGCTGTGATTTCCGACCTGAAATACTATCTGACCTAAGACACACCCTTGATTCCCTTCCACTGCATCTAGTGAAGGCAGAAATTTCAACTTTGGCAGGAAGAATGACGAATGTATTTGTCTTTACGTGTTGCAAAGGGAACAGTCATAATGATATTGAGGCATGCCAATCTCTTGTAAGAACTGTTCACCAAGCACTATGTTCTGTACTGGATAAGGCTTCTGCCTCACTTGAGTTCTCACCCAGAACATCACATGCCAACAAGAGGAGAAGACTATGCTTTATTGAAACATCCACTTCTTCATGCACCCATGAGTCCTGTTTGTGTTGATGCAACCATGGATCTTGTTTGTGTGATGTCAACAATTTGATGTGTTCTGTTCTTTATTTCAAGTGTTTCAAAGTGTGCCATCAGTGTTTCTTATTTTTTTGAGAAATACTAAGTCCACACTTGATAGTAGGTTGTTTAACATATTTTCTATTATTGGGTGAATCTCATTAAGTGATAAATAAGATTCATTAAATAAGATATGTGATATTATCATTATCATGTTTATCCAATAATAGAAATTGTGTTATAGACAGTGTGTAAGAAAATGTGTTGTTAACATTTTGTTTAAAGCTGGATTTGTCTTTTATTATGTAGACAAATTATACTATATTTGGATTACCCTTTTGAAAAGTACATTAAACAATGTAAGGTGTGTTTAGAGGGATTATCCAAACAATTCTACCAAATTTCAAGGGCTTATGTGAGGAAGATGTTGTTGTGAATGCATCAGAAGAAATTGAAGATGTGTGTTACTTTGTGGCAGACATGAAGTAATCATAGAATAGTTCAATAACATCAATAACTGTGGTGATTGCAAATTATTTGTAGTTTTAAGCTTGATTAACTATAGAGTGAGTTTTATGTCCTTTAGGTCTTATTTAATATGAACTTGGGGATGATAATTATAGTATCAAATGAACTCATCATTTACACAACCACCTAGATCTATTACTTAATTATTTTTATTTTTTTTATGCATATTATCAATTTAGGACATGTTTGAATAATCTTTTACCTAAGAACTTTTAAGAAAATAAAACGAAATGACGTGGATATTAAACAAATTATAATCCTACAATGTCTTAAAAGGAATCCTCTCGAATATTAGTCAGTCAAATGATGTGATAATGAATAAATGATGACACGTGTTTTAAGCAAAGAAAATAGTGTAGTTGGTCCATGTTTCTTTCATTTCAACTCATATTCTTAACTACTATCAAGTAAATTTAACCTTTAAGTTTATGAATTATTTTATTTTGTTATCATAACTAATTAAACTTGGTCTTAATTTTATTTTTATTTTTTTACACTTTGAACTCGAAGATAAACTTGAAGAAGACAGTGATAAATGATATAACGTCAAAGAAATGTAGAATTTAATTGAGATTTAATTTAAGTTATAAGTTGTTAAACTAACTTTCATAGAATTAACTTACTTTGGAAGTTGCACATTGAAATAAATTTTTGTATATTCTTATACTTATGTCATTCTTAGTAAAAAGAAAATATAATATTGATTAAATAGTTATTTAGTTATTTATATGATTTATCATATTTTTACATTGTAATAAACAACCTAAAATAAACGGGTGACCTAAATGCTTAAACTAAATTTTTAAATTACTATAATGAGGTCTAAAGGAATAAATAATAATATTTCAAATTTATTATAAATGTTGCATATAAAATGCAACTCCATGGAGTTTATTAAATGAAAATATGTTGTAAATTCAATTGTCCTTGTCACATTAAAAAAACTTATCTAAATGTAATGACAAAATTAAAGAACTATTACTTAAACATTATGTTGTCTAAAAATTATGAATAAACTTTTTTAAATGTTGTCCAAAACTTTTGGATTATTGTAAAATTTTAACATAATTGTGGTCTTATAGGAAAAAAAGTTTTTACTTTGACCAAAGTTTACGACTGCATACCCCACAAATTAAAATTCGTTGTCAAATCGTTGCATTAAGCTTAGGCCATGTTGTTTAATTTTAGACAATCTTTTTTAGTCGTTGTCTAAGGCCAAAAATGGTGTAGTGTGATTTGAAATGATGATTATTTAAAAAAATATTCCATAGGTTTTTAGCCTCTACCCAATACTCTTTTGGTAACCTTTCTCATAAAACATTCATCCAAGCAATTATATTATTATTCAATTCTTTCCATTGGTTTTAGAGGTGTAAGGAGCTGTTAATTGATGTTCATTATTTGCTTCCCATAAGTAACATGATGAATTATTCTCAAGTATCTACTCCTTTCCATAATCAAACTTCAAAGCATGAGATACAATCACTTTATTTTAACCAACATGAAAATTTTTCTTGTACTAGTAGTTTAAATATAAAGTAATAATGATCAAGATGATCATGTTGTATAGTTATTGTTGAAGATAGGAATAGCATGGGAACGAAAATTATATACTTATTTAAAAATATATATATATATATATATATATATATATATATATATATATATAAAAGGTAAAGAAAAAATTATTTATCAAAAATAATAAATAAGTATTAAATATTTGTATAATTATAAAATAATTCATAATTATTAATTAATTTCTAAAATAATATTTTAAATTAAAAACTTATGTTTTTAATATTATATATTTGACAAATAATATTAAATTATGTTTTATAAAATTATATATTTTTTAAATATTTGATTTTATATTATTAAAATAATATCACATTACGTAAAAAATATAAAATATATTAAATTATTGATTTGATTTTTATAATCGTTTTTATACGTAACACATCTTACCAAATAATATATTGAAAAATCAACAAAAATATATAAATTAAAATTAAAATTATAAATATAAAAATTAATAATTATTTAATAAAAAGATAATATTTTTAAAAATAATATTTTCGTACAATTTTTTATTATATTTCTATATATCAATAAAAAGGAAAATACATAACGTATACCAAAAATAAAAAATTTATCTATCACTGCTTTCTTATTATTAAACAAGAGAATTTTTTTTTAACGTTTATATTTATATTATTCATTTTTCACTTTCTTTCTAAAGAAACGTATCCTTTTTAAAAACGAAAAAATAAATAAATTTTTGAAGATTATTTTAATCTAAACAATATTTTTAATTTTTAAAAATTACAAGTATATATATATATATATATATATATATATATATATATATATATATATATATATATATATATATCTTTTAAAATGACAAACAATTATTGATTTCTATGATTAAGTGTTTCTATTTCCATGTATAATTAACATCTTATTATATCATAATTTATTGTGTGTTCAACATTCATCTAACCTTTTTCGTAAATTATGATGATTTTTAGTGGAGGCTTACGTACGTTACGAGCATCTTTATCTTTGAACCGGCTTTGGATTGCATAAATTTTGTGTGTTTTCCACGTACAAATTGTTTATCTAACCGTCACTCCTTTTTCTACGTAATTGCTATTTCAGTCTCTACCACTTCATTACCTTCTCAAGGTATAAAAATTATTTAACACGGTAATAAAGTAAATAATACACTTTTTAATAGATTTTTAAAATGTATATTATATTATTAATTATGATTTATTAAAAATTGTAAATTTTGACACACCTGATTTTTTGATTTAATAATTTTATCATTTTTAATCAATTATTAAAATAGGTTAAAAGTTATATTGCTAATACTCATCTTCTTTCATAATGAAACCCATCTAACAAAAATGTTATTCGTTCGTTTTATTAATTGCTCTGTGGGAATATATTTAAAGATAATAAATACACCCTATTAAATATTTAGAATAATTAAAAGGGATTCATTAAATATATAGTTTCGGTTTCGTTTAATAATCATTAAATATTTCTCCAGCATGAGGTTAAAATGCAACAGCAATATGTTCCTCTGCATGCAATGCTTCGCCTGGTTTTATCTCAATCCTTACTTTTCTCTCCTTCCATTCTCTCTCACTATCATAAGAATCACAAAAAACAAACAAAACTAGAACAAGAAACATTTCTTCCAGTGTGTTCCACATGTCTTCTTATTCTCACCAACGAACAAGAGGTTGAATATCTAGGAAGAGTGAAAGAAGATGGAGAAGCAGAAAAGTGAGAAGGAGGGGTGTGTGAATGTGATGCTGTTACAAAGAAGTGTGAAGAAGCTTCACTTTGGAAGCTGGGAAGAGAAAGAGGTGGCAGCCAAGGAGATTGAAAGCTTGGCTAAAGAAGATGAGAAGGTGAGAGAGTTGGCAAGTGAGCTTGGGGTGGTCAGGGTGTTGGTTTCTATGGTGGCTTCCAACGTCGCTGGCCGCCGCCGAGTAGGACTCAAGGCACTGATCCAGCTATCCAATGGAAGTCACAAGTAAGCTTCAAAAACTCTCTTGGGTTCTAAATATTTGTGCCAGTGAAATTAAAAATGTGGTTAAAAAAAGAAAAAGACTTTCTTTCTTTCTGCTGTTGGCATCTCCTGGTGTTGCTCAGTAATGCACAAACTGTGTTTTAAGCTTAATGAGCAATATGACGTTGGAATTCACCATTTTTTAAAACTGTGGTGCGTAACTGTAGTTGCAGAAAACCTCTAGTTTGTTTTTTATTCAGAAAGTGACATGTAACAAACAAAGTTATAATATAGATTATAAATAGATTTAAAGCACAATGAAAAAAAATATATCAAATGTGAACGTAAGTAATAAATAAACAGATAGATGAATAAATTAAAAAACTACAGATGTATTACTTTTTCAATATTGCTGTTATAACTTAAAATAATAGATAAAAAATAATAACATTTGAAGTTGATGTACTTAATGTTAAAACCGTAATTCGGCTACAGTTAGTTTCTTTCTTTTATACTATCTCAGGAATTTTGTACGTTTGCTGTTTTTCCAGGAACAAGGCTTTGATAGTAGAGGCAGGAATGTTGTGCAAACTGCCCAAGAAAAATTACCTTGAAGATGAATCAATAAGTGAATTTGCAGACTTGCTCGCTTCATTGTCTTCTCTTGGAAACCTCCAATTTCCTCATTCTTCATTACACTTTCTCCAATTTCTCATTGACATTCTAAAGTCATGTCCAAGTTTTGATACAAAGCAATCGTGTTTGGTAGCCATGTCCAACATCTCAGCTTTGTTAGAGAATGCAAGGCCTTTGGTTTCTAAAGGTGTTGTACCTATTATCTTGAAACTGTCCTCAGAGAGAGGAACTTCAGAGAAAGCACTTACCATCCTTGGAAACTTGGGGGTGACTTCAATCGGAAAGAAAGCATTGGAGAACAGCTCAATGGTGCCAAAATGCTTCATTGAGATCTTATCTTGGGAAGATAAACCCAAATGCCAAGAGTTGTCAGCTTATATTCTGATTATTCTAGCTCATAAAAACTTAACACAGAGGGATAAAATGGTAGAGTCAGGGATTATCCCTGTACTTCTTGAAGTAGCTTTATTAGGAGGGAGTTTTTTAGCTCAGAAAAGAGCACTGAAATTATTGCAATGGTTTAAGGATGAACGCCAAGTACAGATGGGGCCACATTCAGGCCCACAGGCTTCAGGTGTTGCAAATGAATTACCTATAAATCGAAGAGACACAAAAGAAGGGAAGAGAATGATGAAGAGTTTAGTGAAAGAAAGTCTGCGTAGGAACATGGAAATAATATCTAAAAGAGCTAATGCAGGTAGGGATTCTTCTAATGAGCTGAAGTCCCTGGTTACCAGCACAAGCTCCAGAAGTTTGCCCAACTAAGGGTAGTTCTAAAATTTGTTGGAGACTCGATTTATGAGTGTAGGCAGCCATTGACGGCACGGTTTAAGAGAAAGCAATTTTACGAAGAAAAGTCATCCTCGTGAGACAAATAGCATGTCTACTGTTACAACATCTGTATATTTTGTCCTTTATAAATGAAGATTTTTCATTTTCAGAGTAAAAAGAAGTTGCTTTAACATTAGGCGTCCAAACCCAGAAAATTTCTATTTTAAATAAGTTATATATATATATATATATATATATATATATATATATATATATATATTATCTAATTATTTATTAACCGAGTCAAAATCTAAATGATAATAGATTCATGACAACTTATTTATGCTTATCTTTTCTCGTATAATTATTCACATAAATATATAAATATATATATAATAATAATAATAATAATAATAATAATAATAAAATATAAAAATAACTTTTATTGTATTAGTGTTATTTCTAACTCATTTCAACAAATAACTTTTGAAACCGTTCACTATTTATATAAAACAATTTAACGCTATTTCTTCGTCATTGCTGCCATGGACACATTTATCTATAAGTAGAAATAATTACAATTATAATTATAATTATACATTTCCATAGAAAACTTTTTAAACAAAATCTAGTCAAATTTAGATAATAGTTGTAAAAAAACGTGAAAAGGACCAATCATTTATAAGGGATCAATTACAATTCATTTCATTAACGCCAGAACTATAATAATTTGTTAAAATGAGACTAAACGCAACTTCAAGCACATTTTAGACAAAATAAGACATAATACTTAGAACGGTTTACATTCTTCAAACCAAACTCCGCTCAAGATTCAATCTACCATGCATATTTATGCCTACGTAAACTGTGACAAACCTTCTTGGACTAAGGCTTATTTATTGCGACTTCAAGTCCAATCAATATTTTACATCAGGCAATCTAATTGAAACCCACATATTATCAAAACATTTATAATTTTCCTTCTATTTGTAGAGCGACGAATGGCGGAATTTCCTTGTCTCAAGACACCATTTATCGAAGCCAATGTTAGCAATCTTTAGAAACAGATAAAACACCAAAACCATTCTATTTTTTATCCTTTACCCCACCCTATTTTAGTAAAATATTTCTAACTCCTAGTCCAATAATATCATATTTTACAATACACCAAAATATAAAACAGAAATCTGGTTTATATATTTCATACAGTTTAACCGGGGTTTATTTCAGAGGAATGGTATCCAATAAAGCTAAAAGAAAAAACCCTCCAGGTTTTTTCCAACAGATCCCCAATGGATTCCCCATCACTTGCCTTATTCTCACATTGATATTGAGCTGGCATTACGTTATTCATTTTTTCTAATTCCAACGGACAACTGAACGTCTACAGAGTCTATGCTCAATGTTAAAATAGAGAACGAAATAGAACTGAATACACTGTCTAAATACACAGTGGATATGATTTTGTACAGACTTGTTACATTTATTATGAATGAATAAAAGATATTTTGTTTCATCTCTAATACAGATTACATAACTATAATAAGAAAATATATTATTTAAATTCTCAACACACTGTAGAAGTATCTGATCTATTTTTCGAAACATGGGAGCAGGAATTAATAACTGAATGTTATGTGCATGTGTAACCTCGTAAAATAATGAAGTGCACATTATATTAAATCAAACCATATGTATCATACACTTATCCTAACATGAGTATTTCATTACAAAATTATTACAACGTAATTGTCACTTTCAACTAGGATTAGAAGGAGAAGATAAAGTAAAAACTGACTATGTAAATCAGTTTTACACTATGCTAAAAGTTATACCAATATTGATTTTTGATAGGTCAAGAGTGTATAGTCATTAAACCTTTAGAAAAATAGCTAGGCTCCTTCAATGAACAATTGGAAACCAAAATGGCATTCAAAAGTTCTAACCTCAGAAGGTTTACAGCAAGGCAGTGTTGGCCGAACTACTTCAAACCGACCAGGCGAATCACCTCGCAAATCATTAGAAAAAGCAGGCAAATATGGACATTCACAAAATTTGATACACAAGCCTCAAATTAGAAAGTATAGTTAAAACATTCAGAAGAAACAAACATAATATAATATATTTGGCCCAAAAGCATGACAAACCATGACAAAAAAAAATGGACCAAAGAAACACCAAACAAGAGCAAAGCAAGTAGCTTATTGTTCCCATGAAAACACTTGCAAGACGCGGGAAAACTATTTTATGTAATAAAATAGCAATAACAAGATCCTAATTGAAAATCCACCTAAGATTCAACAAATGCAAAATGCAAGACCAGGCAAACAACCAACACAATTACTCTGTTATGCTTTTCATCTCTTACTGGACTAGCCATCTATCTTAAATACAGCCCATCTTAGTTGAAGCTTCTTGGGCATACCTTGATTGCAGCCTCAAAGGTTATGTTTAGTGTCAAATCAACTAGAGATGCGAGTTTGCAAGATTGATGATAGTTAGTGACAGGCTAGAGATATGGCTTACATAGAACTAGAAAAGCTATGATAATCCTCACCTTACAAAAAGGTTTATGAGGTTGATGAGGCTCTAACCTAAATTCTAAGAAGGTATAGAAGGTTGTCCTATATCCATAGTTGGGCCAAATGATTGCCACACTCCAAGCCAACAGCCTTGGATGTGATGGGATGTGTTGGAAAGCCACCTTAGCTGCAGTAACCCTTAGTTCACCTTAGTTGCAAACTCTTCAAGGATTGCCTTAATTGAAGCCTCAAGCTGATATTTTTACGCTCATATCGGCTAAAGATATGACTGAAATTGAGCTCAAAGCTAGGACAATATTCACCCTACCAACTAATTTTATGAGATTAAGTTATTAGGACCTAAGTCGAGATTCTAAAATCTGCATACATGACATAAAAGATACAAAGAAATAAATTACAAGTAAACCACCAATTCCTCCTCAATCTCCTCCTAAAGTAATAAAGTTGTTAAAGTAATTCCTAAAGTATTGAATATTCATCAATTTAATCCCCCTAATAATTAAGGGACTACTTTGATTTGTAATACTTCGAGGATTACTAAAGTATCTATTTTAATTTAAAAATCACTTTAGGAGAGACAGTTATATTTCAAGAATCAAATTGGTGGTTAACTCAAGAAAAGATTATTGTTACTTTCTGTCACTCCTCTAGCTTTAATTTTTTTTTCAGAGGGATGGCTAGATGGTATGGAGCTTAAAAGTCATTATAATAAATTTAGCAGTCAAATTAAAGGCTTACTGTTTATACATGAAAAAACCTGGCGTTGCAATTGCCACATCAAGTTTGAGCTTTGATTTCACTACAAACAAGGTCATCAATCTCACCGTTGGCATTTTTCAAATTTACAAGTTTAGGGCAAAGCAATAACAGATCTCATCTTTAATACAGTTCAAATGAAGGCTCGTCAAAAGTGGTTTAGTCATTAAAATTTGAAGCTGATTTTAGTATAAAAACCAATTGAACAGGATATTTCAAAAAATACTCAAATATCACGTACAATTTTGAAAGGTGTTCACAAACATTCATTTTGGGGCAAACCAACTGTGGATCTCATCAAGACAATTCAAATAAGCCTGTAAAAGACTTGATGGAACTATTTACTCGTTAAGATTTGATGGGGAATTTAGTATAAAACCATGTCGGAAGGATATGTCAAAAAATACGCAAAAGTATCATGAACGCCACCATACAAAGCAAGTATTTGCAATTATCGGAAGTTAAAAGAAAAAAAATTAAAGCCACCATCACAACCAGAGTAAATTTACGCAACGAATATAAACCACAATAAGAACAATTTCAAAATTTAATGTAACCACCTTGGCATTCAGTCAATAATTAAGAAACAATCTAGGTAAAAACTAGGAATAAAAAATTCTACAAAAATTCCACATTAGTACTACATTCAGGTACTACACCAAGTCATGTAAGCTTCAACTAATAACACCCATTATAAATGGAACCATAACACATAGATGCAGAGGTAGTGAAGCAGCAACAAATTACAGCAGTCCATGTAACCAAAACCAAAGATTTCATTGTCTGCATGTACTAAAGCAGCACAACCATTTAAAAGCATTAGCGTCCAAGAAGCCATCACAAACCTGAATGAAACACCTATCCAAAACTCAAACCAATCATTAACATTTAACAATAAAACGAACTGTCAAAACTCAAAAGCAATAACCATCACTCAAATGATAAGTACAATCGACAATTAAATGAACTTCAACACAGAAAACCATAAAACATAGTATATTTGTCCACAAAAGACTAACCATTTCATACCACCAATCAATTTAACAAAACACATTGTAAGATATAAGAGTCATGCAGAAATACATATAAAACTCTGCATTTGCATTTAAAAAAGCATAACTCTATTTCCTTTAAAAACAATCCAGAGGAGTGCTAGCAACACACCCTATTACTGTTTAAAGTTTGTTGAGAACTACAAAATTACACGTGAGACTCAAGAAATAAGTTCACCGACCAAATTTTTCTTCATAGTTTCCAACAAATTTCAGCCAAAATTAAAAGACTTTGTTCAAAAGTGTATTGCAAGCATTTCTCAAAAATCTATGCAAGTTCAACTAAAACAGAAACAGTTATATATTTTATATAAGGGTATGGGCTAATCAGCAGTCTATTAAGCTTTGATAACGAAAAATTACCTCAATAATAGGGTGGGACGCCTTGGTACATTCCTCCGGGAGGAGGCCTAGGTATGGGCAATTGCTGCTGCAGTGGAAGCGTAGAAGAAGGAGGATAACCATACTGGGAGCCTTCAGGGAATCCACCACCAGAATTGGGAGGCAGTCTAGCACCAATGTCTCCGGAAACTGGCCCACCCATCTGCGAATTAGCATAGCCACCACCGATTCCATGGCCATACCCACCACTACCAGAAACTTGAACCGGATTGTTATACGGTGGCACCGGGTGCTGCATTCCATAGCCATTCCCACCATATCCACCATACTGAGGTACCATCATAGGACCTTGTTGTTGCATCTGTTGCTGCTGCTGCTGCTGCGTGTGTTGATGCTGATGCTGATGTTGATCCCCTCCAAAAGGTTTCGTCTTCTTGCTATCGACGGCCAATTTACAAATCACTTGGTGCCCATCAATGGTCTTAACAGGTTCCACCAAAGAAGCCCTCGCACCTTCCTCCGTCTTATAAACGAAGAAAGCGAAACCCCTCGATTTACCGCTCGATTTGTCAAACCCTAGAGGCCCTTCCTCGACTTCTCCGAACTTGAGGAACTCGCACAGGAGTTTATCCGAGGAGATCTCGAAGGGCACGTTCCCAACAAAGACCTTCCTTGCCGATACATCGCCGGAACCGCCGGGCCCACCGGCCGCTGCGAGTTGCGTGACCGTCATACGGCCATCGATCTTCTTGCTCGGGTCTTTAAGCGCGAGGATGGCGCCATCCACGTGGCGGAAAACCACGAAGCCGTAGCCCTTCGAGCGTCCCGTGGCCTTGTCGAAGATCACGATGGCCTCGTCGAGTTCACCGAACACAGAAAACACGCTGCGCAGGGTCTCGCTGGTGGTTTCGCCGGCGAGTCCGCGAACGAACAGCTTCCGGAGGGTAGAATCGCGGTCTGCAACGGCGCGCACAGCGTCAAGGACGTCGGGGTGGCGGAGCGACGCCGATTGGAGGAGGTCAAGGAGTTGTTCCTGGGAGAACGGGCGCAAGATCTTGCGGATGTCTTCGGCGGCGAGGGGGGCGGTGGTGGTGACGGTGGCAGTGGGAGATGGGGGGGAGGGTTGTGACGAGGGAGAATCAGCGTCGCCGTTCTCTTCAGTTTTGCGCTTCTTGGAGAAGTCCATGGTCTGGAAGCAAATTTGGGAATTAGGGTTTCGACCACGAGGTTGGTGGGAAGTGAAGTAATGAAACCGAATGAAGTGTTTATCCACCACACACAGACTCTGTAGAATCTGTTTCCTGTTGGCTTATTTATAGGACTCGACACTGTTTGCGTTGCAGGCGGTAAACATTGGTTTGTACACTAATGGTGCGTGTGCACACGTGTTTTTTCTTCTTTAAATATTACAAGATATCATTTCATATTCAATAAATGCTTAAAAATCTTTCAGATATCCATCTGTTCACGTGTTTTTCCTCTTTAAATATTAAAATCAATATTAATTTTAAAGTTAATCAATGTTTTAAAATAAAATTATTTCAAATATCCATGACATATTATAATTAAGGAGTCAATTCTTTACAAAGATAATATATGTAGATATATATAATTTTTCTAATATTAAAAAATATATATAAATAATAGATAATAAAATATTTCTTTTATGGACTTAAGATTTCAATTCTGGTCATCAATTTTATAGATTATGATGAATTATATTGAATTAAAAGAAATTATCAATGTCGATAACTAGACTTTTTAAAAAAATCTTATTAAATATTCTGTATAATTAATTAATTTTATTATTCACTATATAATATGTTTTCAGATCGAATCATGACAATTAAGTACTAAAAATAAAGCGTAATAGATTTTAGTACAGTTTGGTATTCAAATATTCCTAATTAGAATTTGTTCTATAGATCTAAGGTAATACGTATCCTATAACCTTACAAACAATGTAGACTAATAAAAAAGCAAAATAAAAAATATACATATAAGAAATTAAAGGAGAATAATTAGTACTATATCTCAAACCCTAATCCTTAATATTGCTCATAATTTAGCATACTACGTTAACAAAGGTTAATAAATAATATAAATTATCAAAGAAGTTAGAATTATATTTGTTTAAAATAAAAGTTAATAAAACGTTATAAATGTAATTATTTATATATTTTAAAATATTAATAATAGTTGCTAAAATAAAAGGTCTATGAAAAATAAATATATTTTTTCCAAAATGTAATTATTTTTATTATAAAAAGTATAAAAGATAAATAACATATTTATCTACACTAAAAATTACAAATTATTTGTAAAGGTTATCAAACAAATAAATCATAAAAAAAATATAGACAAATAAAATATTTTCATTTATATTTATGATATTATAATAATTATATTTAATTTATAATTCATTGTATTAGACACATTGATAACTTGAGTGTGAAATAAGAAATATCATAAATATATAAATTTATTAAGTCTCAATCCATAAAAAAATTTGAAAACAAGAAGGTCCCAAATTTAGTAATATATGCAAATATAGATGAGTGACTCATAAATATACTTGACTTCATATGTTGAAGGGTTGATATTTTAATTTGTGTTTTTTGATCATGTTAATTTTATAACTAATTTGTATGTCATACAATTTAGGTCCTATTAGCGAGTTAATTATAATTATTCACAGGAATTACATCATAGTGTGGTTTTGTTCATTGCACCGAAAACCCAACCAAGAAATGAGAATCTTATCATAAGGGTAACTTTATCATTTTTCCTTATGTTTTAAAAGTGTAAATATATATTGAATAATATTTATTTTTATTTAAATTAGAATAATGTCTAGAAATAATATTTTAAGTAGAAGAAGCAAAACAAAAAAATTGTATTTTATTTATTCTAAGGCTAGAAAAATATTTAATAAAGGTCGTAATTATTGTTTATATATAAACTTTGGAAATAATATTGTATTTTATTTCTCATTTTAGTGTAATAGGTACACAAACTCGTATGAATGTGACTACTATATCATATATTGGATGAAAGTCATAGTTTCTGCAGGAATTACTTATTCTTAGATGGAGGTAATTCTTTTCAACATTTATTAAGTTTATTTACTTTTATGAATATTGCATGTTAACTAGAGTCAAATTAATGTTTCAAGTCCTACAAGATTCTTCTATTATCGGAAGATTATATGACATAGATAAGAGAGCACTGAACAAATTTTTTTTGTTCAAAATATCTAGTACTTAATTTTGTAGGTTTTAGTTTGTATTATTGTATTTAGTTTAGCTTCTACAATAGTTGCTACTTTAAATTTTGTGGGTAATTTTGTTGGATAATGATGTAGTTTAGCATGTAAGTAGTTTAACTTGTAACTAATTTAACTTTTAAGTAGTTTAGTTTTGAAGTATTTTTTTTTTTACTTTTTATGCAGTTTAGTTTTTAAGTAAAAGTGTTGTATTTTAGATTGTCTATATTTTATTGTATTAAAAATTTTGTATACAAGTTTTTGTTGTAAGAAAAAATAAAGTCAATACTAAAAAAAATGCGAAATTTATGTTGGACCTAGTATGGACCGACGTAATTTTACATTGACTAATGTTTAGTCTGATGTAAATTTACATTGGATATTGTCCAAGTCAACATAAATTTCTTGTTTTTTTATTTTATTTGTGAAACCCTTTTATGATTGGTCTTTTAGATGTTCGACATAAATTAATATCATTTTTGTATATATTCAATGTAAATGATGTCAATTATTGTATTCGACATAAATTTACGTCTTTCATATTGACATTGGACCATAATATGTTGTAAAAAGTTCAAAATAACATATGTACAAAATCTTTGTTGTGTTAGTGTTTTAAAACTCATTAAAATTAAATAAATCATTTATATCTTAATGATTCTCTAAAACATGTAGAATTGTCAAAACGGGTTGTTCAACCTAGTTTGACCTGACCTTATATGTCAAGTAAGGCTCAATCTTGCCTATATTCTAAATAGACAAAAAAAATTACTCTAGTTTGACTTTATGTTAGGCTAATGAATTAACGGACTAATTTTGGCATGATTTTTTTTTAAAATATTAACATATTTATACAAAATCAATTAATTAAAAAATATTTAAATAAAAAAGATATACTCTGAAATTTAAATTTTATAAATAAAATTAGTTTTTATTTAAGATATAATTATTTAATCTATAAATTATAAGATAATACATCCATTAATTTTCAAAATAAGAATTAAAATTCACTCTTTATTATTATTATTATTATTTATTTATTTATTAAGTAATTTATTAATTTAAAATAGTAATTAATCTAATAATTAAATCTTGTAATAAGTTATTGTTAGAGATTTATTTTGATATTTACTCTTAAAACAAGTTAATCCCTTGTCAAATTAATTTATAATATATATATATATATATATATATATATATTAATAAAATAATATTACTTTTATTTTTTATTCTATAAAATGAGTCGCAGCTTGAACTTATAGGTTAATCTGATCTAAGCCCATATATGTAATAGCTTAAATAGGTCGGTCCAAAATAAACTTAATTCAATTTAGTTTAAATATTTTTTATTAATCTGGCTTATTCTCGGGTCTTTTAGGTCGGTCCATGATACCCCTAAGCAAGTGATATTTGTTTTTTATCCCTCTCACAAGGAGCATAGTTGTTGTGAAGAGCTTCATCTTTAATGTATGTTAAGAACTTTGTTGGGTTTCTTATGTTTATTTTAACGAAAAAACTTCAACATGTTAATGTTTCTTTGAAAATCGGGAATAAGGATGTCTTTGACAATGTACATTTGAGAGTTGAAACAACTTAGGGAATCATAGTTGATATCCAAAATATTTTAGAAAGTGATCTTTATAACGATGATAACAATTTGATTAACAAGGAAGTGGAAGCTAAGAATAAATTAAACAAAGCGTTGGACATTGAAGAAAAATTTTTGAAAAGACAAATCTAGATCCAATGGTTCAACAATTGTGATGAAAATACTAAGGTTTTTCACTCTGGTTAAATATACATGGCTATCAAAACAAAGATTACCATGCATGATTAAGGAGACATGCATCTTTCTTCCATGTTATATATAAAGTATTATCTGATGAGTTACTTCGTAACATTATATGTTGCTAATAATAACTCTCTTTCCACTAACCTCATTGATGTTGTGTTTGGATTGATAGATTTAAGTCCTTAAGGAAGTGGGTGTAATTTATTTTTCAAGTCAAGTAGTGTATTTATATATTCTCAACTACACACATGTTTATTATAAAGCAATAGTCAACATGTTCAAATATATAAGATTAGGGGAGCAAAATAAGAAATATTTAGATACTTGTAATAATTTTAATAAAACCAGGAGATACATCTGTACACTCTTGTGTGTGTGTGTATATATATATATATATATATATATATATATATATATATATATATATATATATATATATATCACTATTTTGGATTGAAAAGTGGATTTGAGAGAGTGAAAAAGAAGAGAAAAAAAAGTAGAAAGTAGGGTTATTTGGATTGAGAAAAAAAAGTGAAAAGTGAAAAGATTATAGAATATAAGATTGATTTGATTAATTAAAAAAAATTAAATAATAAAATAAATTGATAAATAACTAAAATACCTTTATTTTAAATGTTAATAAAAATAATTACAAATTAAAATTAAAATAAAAATATATTTTATATAAAATAATTATTTAATAAAGTTATTACAAAATATAATTAAAATTAATTTTATATAAAAATTAAAATTAAATCTTTAATATTTTATAAATATATTTATATTTTACAATTTATTTTATAATAATTTATAAGTAATATTAAATTATAAAAATATTTTTAAAAAATTATAGTATGCTTTTTTATGTATAAGATTGAAAGTATAATATTTAATTTAAAATAGGTTTTTCGTTAGAATTGTTTTAGAAAAGGTAATAAAGGAAAAAAAAAAAAACACACACATTTACTCACAAATCTTCTTAATTTAGAGAAAGAAAGATATATTATATATTATTCGTTTCTTTCTTTTAAATCCACCTATTTCCTTCCCTAGTCCCACCGAGAGATTAATGAGGCCATGACATCCAATAAGGATGAAGGATAGTGCTTTTGGATTATTAAAAGTAAGA